TATGAAAGATATGCAGGGGGACAGTATCTTATCGTTTCCCTCAATAAGACTGATATAATTTATGAAAGACATGCAGGGGGTCAGTTTCTTATCGTTTCCCTCAATAAGACTGATATAATTTACAGAAAGATATGCAGGGGGGCAGTTTCTTATCGTTTCCCTCAATAAGACTGATATAATTTACAGATAGATATACAGGGGGACAGTTCCTTATCGTTTTTCTCAATAAGACTGATATAATTTACAGAAAGATAAACAGGGGGACAGTTCCTTATCGTTTTTCTCAATAAGACTGATATAATTTACAGAATACGTTTCCTTGTTGTTTCAGACAAAAATGACTTTGCAGTTTCGCTTTAGATTTTAAGAAAATTTCGCTTTCTAGGACAACATATAGTCATTTAAAAAGCACTAGATCGGTGAAGAAACTGTCACCCTATAAAACTTTCACACTATTTCTTCTTTCCACCTATCTCTGAAAACTGGCATTTACCAAATCCCATACTGTTTCAAACGCATGGGAAGGGGGGAGCCACGTGATGGTGGTCAGGAAATGAAAGAGTAGATCTAGATAAACTTTATTAAACTTTTATCCGCCGGATATTTTTCATGAGGTTGATTTGAAATTTACAAGTTCCTATATGCTAAGTGTCTCGAAACGTTTTTCACGAGATGGTAAAATCCTCTGTAAATTAAGCCAAAAAAAAAGCAAAATTCGACAAGGATCCACGTTATAAATGGGCTAAAACAAAATAAGTGAGATTATATTCTATTAATTTTGAAATCCTCATATTACAAGTCCCACTATTTTGTATTACTTATGATTTATCTGCAAACTGTATTTTAATGTTTGACTTTTGTGATTAACAATCCGTGAAATCTTTTTTTGTAGACAACTAACTACACGCTTTTTACAGCACTGAAATGATGTAACAAAAGAACGTTTTAAACTCTTTTATCCTTTACTATTCATCCATAACCTAACAAATGTAGCATGTTATAGATATGTAGGGTGATAATAAAATAACATTTTTTCATATATACTGAATAAGTCTGACGACATTATCACGTGCTCGAAGTAGTGGTGTTATACATTTTGAATGACAGGTGTTCTCTTATCCCAGTTGACTTGTTAATAAAATGTTTGCTTGTACGATTTAAAACTCCATATCGTTGAAGTTGTGCCTCAATTACACAGTCTGTTCAAATTCTTTTTCAAAGAAAGGGAGAGAGAGAGAAAGAGCAAAATTTTAACATGATATTGGTGTAAGTACAAATTCCAAAATAATTTGATAAATGTGTTTTTAGAAGCTCATACCCACAGAATTCCGGTTACATGTTTGATTATTGCCGACCCAGAATAGAGGATAACGTCAACTGTGGAACAAAAGCTTCCATTAACAGTAACATGTGCCAGGAAAAGCGTAGCTCCGAAGCAATGCTTTTACACACTTGTAAGCTGAAATCTGAAATTGATTAGTCAAGATAATTGTGTAGATTTGCATTTATGGCAAAACTGTTAAGGCTATCTATAGTTGTCCTAATTTTGAAGTACTGACCGGAGGGAAAGCAACCATCAGCAGTACCTTATCATCCGCTATCTAAGGCTAAGGTATTAACTGTCTCTCCTATATAAAGCGCGCAAAGCTTAAAGTGCGGGGAATATTTCGTGGTATCGCACGGATTGAAACTCGACTCGCCAGCTCCGAAAGTCGGAGCTCTACCAAAAGTTCAATAATTTTCAGTCTAAAATGAAGTTTTCCACATTTAGTAATCGTGAAATGTTCCGTATTATGTTTGATTTGTTTGTTTTGAATTTCTCGCAAAGCTACACGAGGGTTATCTGCGCTACCCGTTCCCAATTCAGCAGTGATAGACTAGAGGGAAGGTAGGTAGTCAAAACCACCTCCTGCCAACTCTTGAGCTACTCTTTTACCAACAAATAGTGAGATTAACATTATGATGCCCCTATGACTGAAAGGACGAGTATGTTTGCTGTGACGAAACTTCGAACTCGCGACCCAAAGATTGCGAGTCGAGTGCCCTAATCACCAGGCCATGCCGGGCCTCAATTGTGTATGAACAAGCGAAAATAATACCTTAAGAACCATTACCTTTGGTTATGTACAGAGGTAAGTTTACGGTCTTACAAAGTTCAAATCCAGGGTTCGATTCCCAGCGGTAGACACAGCAGATGATTCAACGTGTGGCTTTCCTATAAAAACAAACTATTTTCGTTTGATTATATCTAACAAAAAAAGACTGTTTTATATGCTGTGAAATATTAAACTACTTATGGATTTTCATAATAAATCGGGTATAATCTGTAAAATATAACATGTCCTTCAATGATATTTAATAGATGTTTTTAACCTACGAAATATTACACTTACCGTGGTAACGTTTATCATATTTAAACTTAAGTTTGTGATTTTTTAAATGAGTATGTTTAATATTGTTTGTACTAATACATTCATACTGGGTATAAGTTAGACAGGAAACTTCACGTTTTGTAAATGTTAAATGTAATATTTTGCTTACCGCATGAAGCATGGCATTCTAAAACTTTACGCTTCTGATAATGTAAGACATAGCAAGCATTTCTTTATACAAAATATTAAGCTTTCCTTGGTTATATTTAACATAAAACTACTCGAAACTTGAAATGATGTTTATTTTTTTTTTAGCTCTGATCAGAATATATTGGCCGTTTTATTAGTAAGTTCACATTATTATTGTAAAGTATTTTCTGGTCTATTTATTTGTTTCTTTTTTTTTCTCACACAAGTGGTTTGTTTGATTTAGCGCAAATTTACCCAACGGATTATCTCGTCTCTGTCAACCACAGGGAATCGAACCTCGGATTTTAGCGTTCTAAATCCATAAAGCTATCGCTAACCCACTGAGGACATGATAGTGGTATAATCATGATGAGGTGCCTTACCCTTAGTAATTACATCAGCTTATCCCAAACCTAGAGTAAAAACACATTTGAGCATATATATATATATATATATAAGTTAATAAAATATTGGTATTCCTATTAATTCCCGTTTACCCCCCCCCCAC